AGACAATGAAGAGAAAACAAGACTAAGAAAATCAATGAACAACGATTCCCTAAATTATAAAGTGCTCGAATCGCTTTCTTTTGCAGTAAAAAAATAGTTTGCATTTCGGCAGCATTCCCCCACAGTAGAACACCGTACGACATTATGCTATGAAAATAACTGAAGTAAACAAGTCGTGCTGTACAAACATTAATTATAAAGTCAACTCTCGAATTTTGAACCAAACCGTCGTCAAACCAATGAACCACTTTCGAAATGGCCACTTTCTGCAAAATTAATAAGTGTCCGTTTTAGTTCGATATATCATCTGCAAACAACACAAGGTGAGGCAAGTCGTTAATATATACTAAAAACAAAAAAGGGCCGAGGATAGAACCTTGTGGAACACCCATTTCTACCACAGAGCCTGGATACCGCTCACCATTAATATCAAGTATCTGAATCCTATTATATAGATATGAAGCAAGAAGTTCCAGTACATTATACCATAGTGCTGTAATTTCCTGTTTAGCGTTTTATGAACTACACAATCAAAAGCTTTAGATATATCGCGAAAGCTACTCAGAGAATCGTGGGCATCCTCCCAGGCATCAAATATGTGTTTTACTAGCTCAACACTGGCATCAGTTGTGGAGCGATCCCTAGTTAATCCAAATTGTCTATTGTTTAATAAACTATTATTAAAAACAGCTTTGCAATTAATCATACATAATTTTTTCAAAAATTTTGCTAAGTTCTGGTAGTACTGAGATAGGTCTAAAGTTAGTTGGGTCGGATTTACTACCAGATTTGAAAAAGGGAATAATTTTAATAGACTTCATAAGATCAGGAAATACTGGTGTATTTCCTTATCATATGAAGTCTGTGATGTGATAAATTTATTGTTTATATTAAATTCATTAACACGGTACTGATTTTTGCCAGTTTCACTATCAATAATTTTTCAAGTGGTTTTAATCTTATCATTGCTACTTTTAATCCTCGAACTTATGAAATGGGACTTAGCCTATTTACAAAGTTTCCTAAACAGCTTTGAATATTCTTTAACATAATTATGAATCTGTTCACCTTTATTATAATTCCTCTCATCGTATAGCTCGTATAATCTTTTCCTACTTTTGAGTAAGCCAGGGGTGCCAGTAAATATGGCGTTACCTTTAACCACTAGCGTTTGTGGTGTAAATATTGTGTTAAATGTGAGAAAAAAGAAGAAAAACTTTCAAAAAAGCTTTTAGAATAAGCGTTAGGGTATTCTCTACACATAGTACTGAACTATTAAAAGCAGCTTTAAGTTTATGCTTAAAGTTTTCAAAACACTTTGCGGTTTTAGGTATCGTCACAATTCATTTTTCTGCCATATTTTCATACCTATCACAGAAAGATTCTAATTGACCACAGTGCTCAGAATGTAGTCAATTGATTATTTTCTTGTCCTTAATCACAATGTCTGTAGATTTATTGTCCAAACATGTGGCAGTGGTTGCAGTGATTCGTGTAGATTCCAAGAACAAGTTCTTCAGTTTGTATGATTGAAAGAGTGCCTTGAACTTGGTTATTATACTTGAATTTTTCAATAGGTTAATATTAAAGTCACCACTGATGTTAACCTTCTTTTTTGATCTTGTTACTTTAACTAATAAATCATCCATAACACGTTCAAAACAATCATACATAGCTGAAGGAGGTCTGTATACATATACCATTATGAAACCTTTTAGTTCTATACAGGCTATTTCTGTAGTTCGCTCAACTGATAAACTAACAATATCATGGTGCTCTATAAACTTAAGTTGCTTATTAATGAGTATCATAGTGCCACCATGTATTGCTGCACTTTAGCTGAACTTGCTGCCTACCTGGTGGTAATCAAAATTGAACATGAACTGATCCTGTTTACCCAGTGTTCAGTAATACAAAAAATATCAATCGCATTGCAGTTCATGAACGGTTCCACCTCTAAGTCTTTGTCCATCATTGCTTGCATTTGCTAATCCTGTATCGCGATATGAAGAATTATCTCGCCGATTAGCATATATACAACGTCCCTACCTTAACCGGGGCCGCAGCCCGCAGGCATGATTTCAGAGCATCCTCCCTTTGCGTTGGAGGGACATGACACCCGTTCCTCCACAGTTCATTCAGTGGATTAAGCGTCTTGTGTCGTCTGCAGGGCATTTGGCATTGACTGTCACGTTCGGTGCAAGAATTCAAATCGTAGACCCTAGTCTGACTAGTAGTAGACACAGTGATTCTAAATAGACCATAGAACTGATTAACAATGTAACTTATTAATAAACAAACAAACAAAAAAGGTAGAAGTCTATTAGATTCCCACCACAAATAATTGTATAATGAATATGTTGATTTTCACCGAGTGAGTTACCAGAGCCCAACCCCCCTCTCTCTGGTTCTGGGGAAGAGACTTGTGTCCATGGACGGAGGTAGTCACTTACCTATCCTAACATCCTGAAACTTCCGCCCGTTAACCACCTATATAGGTACCAAAAAAAAACAAATATTATAACACTAAAGCTCCGTCAAAGATAGTCAAAATACGTAGGTGTAATTTACAAATATTATAGGTTTATGAAATTCTTATGCCGAGTTACAATTCCGTTAAGAATATTCTAGTGCGTATGTTTATTATTTCACAAAATGCTGTCGCAACACTTGATCAGATGCCAAATGATTTGTGTGCATCTTCTTAAAAAGTGCCGGGTCCATCGAGTGGTGGTTGGGGGCAACACATGCGACTGCGACAGCGCCTGGGACTTGCGACCATGCAATAGGTTTAGGGAGTTTAGCGCTCACCTCCACTGTCTGCTGTGTTACCCCCTCTATCTAATCATATGTGATACGAGCCTTATAATGCCGCTTTGGATATTCGTTCAAAAAAGAACTTACTGAAGCTCTTGGCAATCGAAGGTGTTTAATCAGGTTATAGAGGGATGTGGCTGGTGGTGTTGTAGCGGGGAAGGGAAACACTTCTCTTCGTGTATAGCCGTGTGCTAGAATGACGCGCTACCTCGCCCCCGCCACTGTCTGTCACCCCGCGGGACGGTCGCGCACGAGATTGCCGGGTTAAAGTACTACCAGTCACGTATGTAGGCATAAGTAGGAGAGTATGACGTCACTGTTCTGTTTTATGTACATATTATACACACTGACGTCTGCATCTGAGAAGAATACAGATATAAATACCCACATTTTGCTAATTTTAATTTAGTTCAACTGACGTAAAACAAACCTATTACCGTTAATATTTTATAAGAGTTCGGACCAACGGGCGATAAAGACGAGCCCTCTTGGAACGATTAATGTAAATTGCATGTTAAACATTACGTATTTCGATTATTAATAAAACCTTGGGTAGAGACCCTATGGTATGTCGTTGATGCCATGGAAGATGGGTAAGCCTTTGGTGTGAGACGCAACTTGCGTCGACACCCTTACGCCATCACATCTTCCAACCACAGCTGGTTATGCTACCACTGCTGCTTCATCAGCAGAAAGCCTCACCAAAACGTAGTAGAGAATTACAGTTTTGAACCGTTTGGCCAGTAGTAAACCATCTGGCCAGCGTGGTATTGTAGGCCATAACCTCGTTTCTAAGGAGAGGCCTATGTCCAGCAGTGGACTATTAAAGGCTGTAGATGAATTATATAACTTTCATCTATTTACATTTTGGGCTCAAGGTTGTGTAAAAGCGGTATAGCCTTCTTTGAAGTAGTACTTACTTCGAACCAGGAAGGAGTTATTGAAATCTGACAACATATTACAAAATATAGATTAGAGAGCATTAACTAGTATCGTAAAACTCATGCAAAACTTGTAATTTGCTTAAGAACATTGGTAAATCTCTTTAGACTGCGATTTAAAGATGGAAGCGCAAAAAATTGGCATCTTCTCGCCACTATTTGCTTTGCGAGTGTTGGTTTAGGCGCGAATATGTACCGGATGTGACTCGCCATGTGGGCGTCATGCACACACTGTCTGTTTGTGCCCACCCTTGCGTTGTTGACAGCCGATAAGGACCTTTTTTTGCAAAACTCCATAAGAAGTTAACTAATTACTCTGTGTTTTATAATAATTATTTCATCTGCGTTGAAGGCGCTTCTAACACTCGTTATTACGGATTGTGTAGTGGTTTAAGCGGTCACCTCGCCGCGCTGCTTTCTATAGCGCTGAGTGTTGTGGATTCGATCCCAACAACAACACGTTGTGTAATCCTCAAATCAAAACTGAGTCTAGGTGTTCTTTGTGTCCGGTTCATAATTATTATTTTGTAAAGTACAGGATATATTCCAAGAGTGGCAGTACCGGGCACGTGCCCAGGGCCCCTTCGTCACATGGGCCCCGAAAAACGATTTATTACACTATACAATTTTTTTTTCTATTTTAGATCGATATAATCCGACAAAAAAAATAAGTAAAGAGGGGGTTGAGCGACATGGAAACCCTGAGCAATGACGAGCCAATGACATTGCCGAATACCACAGAAAATTTGCCATTGGCAAACTTTCCATATAGGAAATGGGTAGTTCCGCAATTCGCCACCACTCCAGGCCATATCGCCTTATGGCCTGGAGTTTTCAATTTCGGTAACTCTATATATTTTCATAATTACAGCTTAAAAAATTATTGGTCAAATTGATTATTGTTATGAAAGATAACTAAAAAGTACCTTTTTTTTATTTACGTATGGAAACCCCTTCGGGCCGTCACCCCACTGGGGTTTGCAGCGGGGTGGTGTGTCGGAATCGGACAAAAAAAGAGAAAAGAAATAGAGGTATCCTTTGGAACTTTTCTCAAAACTTTAATCGTATCAATAGATATTTTAATGTGACCGAACTATATTCCTTTCACGTTAAGAAAATATCATTTTGTATGAAAGGTTGGAACCTGATTGGTTACGGTGCGGGGCTAAAACGATGCGTCACTATTTTCTTAACACGAATGGATCTTTAAAGTTGAAATTTAACTTGGCCTCTATTTACCAGGTCCTCCAACAAGCTGGCAACATCGAGCGGCTAGGCAGGTTCCTATGGTCTCTGCCGGCGTGCGAGAGGCTACACGCACACGAATCAGTCCTCAAAGCCAAGGCTATGGTGGCCTTCCACAGGGGGAACTTCAAAGAACTGTACCGGTTGCTCGAGTCACATACCTTTAGTCCTCACAATCATCCAAAACTACAAAGTTTATGGTTAAAAGGTAAGAATTATGAAGAAGTTATTCTAAGTATAAGTCAAAAAATATTTGAAATCGTCTTTTCTGTGAAGTCTAGTAGTAGCGTATGCATTCCCGGGTCAGACCAAATTTTTGTATGATCTGCAAAAAATTTTGTTTCGGAGTTTGGGTGTTTTCTATGTATAATATGTACATATGTATTTACAAAAAATATATTTAAGTATTCTATCAGTCAATCTAGCTTTGACTTGTACTATGGCTACTAGACAACTGATATAAATACATATATATATATATATATATACTAGCTGACCCGCGCAACTTCGTCTGCGTCTCTCAATAGTAATAAATTTTCTCCGTTTTTGAAACATTCTTCATTGGTGCTCCGCTCCTATTGGTCTTAGCGTGATGATATATAGCCTATAGCCTTCCTCGATAAATGGGCTATCTAACACTGAAAGAATTTTTCAAATCGGACCAGTAGTTCCTGAGATTAGCGCGTTCAAACAAACAAACAAACAAACAAACAAACAAACTCTTCAGCTTTATAATATTAGTATAGATATATATATATATATATACTTCTTTTTTGTAAATACAAACATTTTTTTGTTTTTTTCATAGTAATAATTTACTTTCAAATATATTACATAACATGTTACATTTACTGTGACAACCACACTAGGCAAAGCCTGTGTCGTGGCTATCGAACAATACGATGGCCTTATGCCTAGGAATTAACTAATAGATATTTATACATTTATTTTATATATCTATACTGTTCTTAATTGTATGCATATGAGATTATATTATACATAGACACATCCAGACCAAATCAAACATTAAATGTTCATGAACACAAATGTTTGACTTGAGTGGGAATCGAACACGCGACCTTTGGAAGAGCATTCCGTTACTCAAACCACTACGCCATCCGGTCGTCTTTATAAAGTAAAGCAGGTAAGGATTGTACATCTGTAACATGAACAGACTATTGGATTAAACTCTCTCCACAACAAAAAGACTTAAGTAAAATAAAGTTAGTGCCAGAGAGGTTATGACATACAGCAATGGTTTTTGCTGGTGAAAAGGGATATTATTTGTATGCTTTGAATACCATTTGCTTGCCTACTAAACAAAAGATTGAAGTGTTCCAATTTCCACATTCATGGCCACGTATTGTATTAAGTCAGTTTATAATATAAATTGAAGATGCCGTAAGGCGAAACAGTATAGGTTTAATGAAATATATATTTTGGAACAGTACAAGTGATGTAATCCAATATGTGTAGCAACCAACTAGTGCCATCAGTCCACAGTATAATGGGTTTATAATATAACCCATATTCATGGGTTTTCATAACCTTCAAAATACGAACATTGTATTGTTTTCACGTAATAATATGTAGATTAGTGTACTGTGATCGTTTTTCTGATGACATTTACCTGACTTGGAAAACACACATAATTATTATTGTGTATGTATGTAAAATCTTACGTAAGAAGACCCTGTCATCTCTTATTTGTCATTGTTACATTGTTACGTAATAAAAGCATGAGCCTTTTATTTAATTTTATTTTTGTTTGACGGGGTGGAAAATCCCTTTGGATCTCCTGCTCCTCGGGGATTCAGGAGCCAGTAGTATGTGGTGATTCCACTAAATACCACCCCGACGGCTGGCCTCAGGTGTCCTACTCTGGGAGGACCTCGACCATGTTATTTCAGGTCCTCCCCGAATCGACACCATGCCTAATCAGGCCCTAAACCAGGGGAAAAAACACTTCCCCCTTCAATCGCGAAGTGGCGGCCCAATTTCCTCTTAATGCAATCAGGCCGCTATCCTATCCCCTACCGCAGCATTCAATCTGCCACCAGAGGTGGGGACCTCTCACACTCTCTGGCAGCCCGCGGCCGACTTCCTCTACGCTCGGGATCGGGAGAGGGCCGATCCCGAGCGTAGAGGACGTCGGACGCGGGACGCGGTTCAGCGGTCTCTTTCTGGAGCATAACAGATTCACAGAAAAAGACCACTGCGCCCCATCCCTCAAAGAATGAACCCTAATAGTTGTAAGGTCAGCTTTTGATTAGCAAATATCATTATAACTATAATGTTTGTTAACAGCACATTATATGGAGGCGGAAAGGCTTCGCGGCAGGCCTTTAGGTGCCGTCGGGAAATACAGAGTGCGACGCAAATTCCCACTCCCTAGAACGATTTGGGATGGAGAGGAAACATCTTATTGTTTTAAAGTAAGTATTCTCATTTTTGTTTGGGTATGTATATTTGTAGTCGCTGACTCAAAACCGGTGGTCCGTGTGGTGACGGATTAAGAATACAGAGTGTCACAACCCTATTCAGCCCATGGGTGTCGTAAGAGCCGACTAAGGAAGAAAACTACGCAGAACAACAGCACTGCAGAGAGAAGGAAAACTTGACACAAGCCCTATACCAACCCGTGTGGCCAGCGTGGTGTAGTAGGCCCAAACCTCCATTCTAAGGAGAGGCCTATGTCCAGCAGTGGACTATTAAAGGCTGTTGATGTAATGGTGATGATGATGTGATGACTCAAAACTCCTTAACCGCTAGAAGTAAATAAGCGCATGTGATAGAATACAGACCCAGATACATCTATCATTCAATGGTCTAATACTGTTGTTCGAAAACTCTCTAAACTAAACTAAAAATCACTAAAAATTAGTTTTGGTCCTGTCAAATACCTCGTTTTCAGAATAGGAAACGTTTTTTGACAGGACTAAACAAATTTTAAGTGATTTTTAGTTTAGAGGGTTTTGGAACAACAGAATTAGCACCAATGTCTTTTAAAATCTTGTTATGTAGTACCCAGGTCTGTCATTCGGAGGGAGGTGCGCGTACCTCGGTTATTCTACACGGAAAAGTGTAGAACTAATGCTGGAGAGCGTGCACCTCTTCGCCGATTATTGACAACGTACAACTCACATGTTACGAGCTTGGATATTTTCGCTCTCACTCACTCTAAATTTAAAAAAATTGCCACTGAAATTCTTGCTGATCTTTGATAACATTCTCAGTTAACTACCTATCTATCTTATATTATTACATATAATTCACCGATTGTGTATAGTGCGCGTCCGTTACCTTTTCTACTTTATCTGTAAACTCGTGGACAATAGTGTGGGTTATACGTTTTAAATATGTAAATGCTAAATCAATTGTAAAGACTGCATTGTATAACTGTTTTTTGTCCCTAATAAATAAAAAAATAAAATAAAATAAAATTACATGGTAAAAGTAAAAAATGGTAAAGAAATTTCCCTATCGTTATTCAAACCATCGTTCCTGTTCCCCTTTGACCCCTATAACATGAAAAAAGCAGATCTTCTTTTCTAATTGATGTATGCAATTTATAGTCTAAGAACACCAAGAAATATGTAAAATGAGGGAATCCTGTCCTTCTTTTAAGCTTTTGCCCACTGAAATTAGTTGAGTTAGTGGCAAACTAAATGTGAATATTCAGCTTAAACTTACTGCTGCTGAGGACTACAGGAGCTTGTTGTTGTTTCACAATTTAACTACTTAAACGATTGTCATGAAATTTTGCCGACATTTTGTCACGTGACAAAGTTAGTAACTAACTAACTAACTGAGCTCTCGGGTTCGACTCCCGCATCGGACCAAATGATTGTATGATCTGCAAATATTTGTGTAGAAGTTTGGGTGGTTCCTGTATATGTAAACAGCGTACTCCTTCCTTAAAGGCTGGCAACGCGCTTGTGACTAATGAGTTGCAGGCGTTCATAGGCGGCGGTAGTCGCTTTCCATCAGGTGACCCGTCTGCTCTTTTGCCCATAAAAAATAAAAAAAATACATATTTCGGTGCCTCTCAATCAGAAAAGAGTTCTGTACCGAGGGATTACTGATTTGTATGACATAGCTTACATTCTTGTGAGCGTCACATAAATATTCACCATTTCTAACAATAAGTTTGTTCTACAGGAAAAATCACGGTCTGTACTACGAGATTGGTACTTACACAACCCATATCCGTCACCGCGGGAGAAGCGGGAGTTAGCTGAAACAACAGGACTCACTACAGTACAGGTTGGTGGTATATATTTTCTCTTGTCCCTTTTGGCTGGCTCTTTTAAATCCCCTCGGATACCACTTACCGGTGGCAACGTCGGACTCGAACCGACTAAAACCGCACGCCGTCTCAGGTACCAGTAGTCGGGGAACCAGGTGTAACCCTAGAAAGGAATCCCTGGTGCCCCGACGTACCTCAGGCTGTCTACGGCGGGTAGACGACCCCCCCTGTGTGGGAACCCCCATGTTCCCTCTGTGCTTCGCTTCGCAACGCGCTCCCCGCCACCCCGGCCTGCTTCTGCTACTGCCAGTCGCCAGGCGCCAGTCGTCTGCGGTCTGCTCCCCTAAAATGAATTGTGGATAACTTTAACTATTATATAGCACGTACAAAATATATTTATGTAAACCTAATATATCTATTTATTGTGATAGACATCAATTGGTCATTTATTCATTAGCCTTGATTATACAGCTATACATCACCCAAAGGTTGACTGGAAGAAAATGCCTATGGCATTAAGTCTGCCTTATGCAATGTATTTGCAGGAAATATTAAATAAATGAATAAGTTGGATTAAATTTAAAAAAAAAAACAATAACGTTGGTAGTATTAAACATAGGTAGCGTATTTTTAAATTGTACAAAAATATTAGAGCCTCCTTTCTAAGGAGAGGCCTATGTCCAGCAATGGACTATTAAAGGCTGTGATGTGATGGGAGAGCCATGCTTCCGCGCATACATGACTGAGGTTACCGAGCGAACTCCTGGTGGTACTCAAAGGGTTTCAAGGCACTTTTGTCGCCTGAGTTGCAGGTGATCAAGGGCGGCAGTAGACACTTACCCTTTGCCTAGGATATAATTATGTCACGTATACTCGTTTGCCTATATAAATCGAAAAACTATTATTTTACCCTCATAATAGGATTCCTGTGTTTAAAATAAATTATTTCGACTAAATCGTTAAATGTAACATTCTAAAATACACCATGAATTGTCTTCAATTTTCAATATAATGTTTTAATTTTTTTGATATATTCAAATCACCATTTAATATAGATCATTCGACTGCCTCGATGGTGCAGTGGTAGCGTATGCGACTGCTGTTCTGGGCTCTCGGGTTCGATTCCCGGATCGGACCAAATGTTTGTATGATCTGCAAATATTTGTTTCGGAGTTTCGTCGGTTCCTGTGTATAATATGTATGTATTTACAACAAAAACAGAGTATATTAAGAATTTTATCAGTCAATCTAGCTTCCATAGCACAAGCTCTGCTTAGTTTGAAACTGGATGGCGTTGTGTGTTAAACGTCCGAAAATATTATTATCATTTGACAATAGCTAAGTATGACGCGTCACGCCATAGTATTTCATACAAAAATGTAACGCATCAATCGTTTTGACGTTAATTTAAAAAAATGAAAAAAAGGTGCTATTTGACTTGACAAGTCAGCTACCATCTTTTTTTCTGTGCAGAAATCCCCTCGGATACCACCCACCGGTGGGATGGTTGGCAAAAGCCGCACGCCGTCTCGGATATCAGTTGCCGGGGAACCAAGTGTACTCTAGAAAGGCAATCCCTGTGTACCCCACGTACCTCGGGCCATCTACGGCGTGTAGATGACCCCCTTGAAACCCCTATGTCCCCTTTGTGCTCCGGTCTGCTTCACAGTCATCTATCCCTACTCCATTTATAAAAAAGTAAAACGAAGAGAGTATTAATGACAGAGGGAAGCTACGTGGCGATGACCACATCAGAACCACGTAACGACAAGCACATCAACGTCACTGTTGCCTTTGTCTATGAATAAAGTGAATAAAACATTATCATCTTTATCCCCGAAGGAGGAGACAGAGTGGTATTAAACGCACGCGTTTTGCCGACTATCAAATTTAGTCCCACACACTTAATTAGTCAAGCCTATTCCCGTTTTCGGTACTAGCCGTAATTCACAAAGAAAAATACAAGATTACCTAAAACAATTGAACTGCAAAATTCAACTTTATAAAGTTAAGTATGTCGTGTTTAATGTGCATAGCAAAATAGTGTTTAGATGTTTACCACTTAAGGCTGAAACTTGTGTAAAGTAAGATATATATAAGATAAGTTTCCCAATCTTCTATAGTAAACAGATCAGAGGCTATTCGTAACTCGACCCTGCAGTTGTTTGAAGAAGTAATATCAAGTTTCTACGACCGCAACTGGCCGTAGACTGATTTCTTTTTTTTTTTTATTGAGGCCGTCTTGATGTTTCATTAGGGGTTTGTAGATTGGTTGTGACGTATTAAACTGCTTGTAGGGTAGCCGCCCTTTCCCTTTTTTATACACCAAGGAGGTAGAATACAGGCGTGAGACCAAAAATATTATAATCAATAGCTTATAATAGTCCACTGCTGGACATAGGCCTCTCTTGAGAAAGGAGGTTTTGGCCAAGCTGGCCAGACGGGTTATTATATGGTTTGTGTCAAGTTTTCCTCTTTGCAGTGCTGATGTACTGCGTAGTTTGCTCCCTGAGTCGGCGACACGACACCCCCGGGATGAATAGGGGTGGTGATATTCTGTATTTTTAATCCGTCACCATACGGATACAACCAAAATTATATATTGGTATATCTTATATATAAAATTCTCGTGTCACAATGTTCGTTCCCGTACTCCTCCAAAACGGCTTGACCGATTCTCATGAAATTTTGTGTGCACATCAGGTAGGTCTGAGAATCGGCCAACATCTATTTTTCATACCCCTAAATGATAAGGGTGACCCATCCCTAATTTTTTTTTGTTTTGCAATACAACGTTTGCCGGGTCAGCTAGTCTTAATCAAAAACGTTATTAAACGTATTTTCGTAGTAAATTAGTAAAGTATTACTAAGACTAGCAGATTACCGATTCAATTTCCTTTACAATACGATATAATCACATTACAGTCCATGTTGAATGACAGTTTTATGACTTTTATGACACTTGTGAGATCAAGAGTTGATCTGAACTAAATTTTAACTAAACTTTTATTACGAGAATTGGCCTTCAGATAAGATAACAAGCATTAACTACCACTTATAAGTACTTTCAAGTAACTTCAACACCATTAGAATGATGTGGATTGGTTATTCACACTTTGTTATAATCCTACTTGGAATCAAACCCTAAATGTAATTTTAATAATGTTTTTTTAAAATTCATTTAACACACATACGAAATCTCATCAACAGCCTATACTAGTCCACTGCTGGACATAGGCCTCTCCTTAGAAAGGAGGTTTTGGCCTACTATACCACGCTGGCCAGACGGGTTGGTATAGGGTTTGTTTCAAGTTTTCCTTCTCTTTGCAGTGCTGTTGTCCTGCTTAGTTTGCTCCCTTAGTCGGCTCTTACGACACCCACGGGATGAATTGGGGTAGTGACAATTTGTATTCTTAATCCGTCACCACACGGACTAAGAATACACACATACGAAATAGGTATAACATAACATTTTTGTTTTTTGTTACTGTAAAACCACTCAGAATATGTCAATACAGAAAGGATTTTAGTCGAAATTTTATATTAAAGCCGTTTATAAATAAAATAAACTAATATTAGCTAAGACAGCTTAGCATACGAGAGTACTTACCTAAAAAAATTACCTGTGGTTGTGTAGTTCATTTAGAAAATAAAACCGGTGAACATGATTCCAAGGGTCTGGCGGGTGTCACTCACAATAAAACACTAGAGCTATGTTTCTAAATGTTTATTGGGTTCTCGAATCCTATACGAATCCTGTCAGAGAAGACATAGTATAAAATTCAAAACTCGGACAACATGAGTTTATTTTTATTGTATATAATATCTTTTATGTAATTGTTTGCAGGTCTCCAATTGGTTCAAAAACAGACGGCAAAGAGATAGGCAAGCGGAACATAAAGACAGGTTAGTTTTTTTACTTGAAGTTTTTTTAATTTAAATATCTTTTGCTCTTACCGCGGGAGACTTGCTACGGCCCCAATAGGCTGGCTCGAACAGAGTGAGAACACGGCCTCTTTCTAAAGAAAACTTTTTGAATAAAAGATATGTTTATAAAGATACAAAGAAGAAGGTAACAGCTTTTACTACGTATTCAGGATCCCTACTAAACATATTATTGTTTTTACCTAGATGTACCCTTCTTTTTTTCCTCTGCGGAACTCCCTTCAGATACCACCCACCAGTGGGGTGATTATGTCGGACTCGAACCGACCAGAAACCGCACGCCGTCTCCAGGTATCGGTATCCGGGGAACCAGGTATGCCCTAGAAAGGCAAGCCGTGGTACCCTGACGTACCTCTGGCCATCTACGGCTTAAAGATGACCCCCTCCTGTGTGGGAATCCCGATGTTCCCTTCCTGTATCCTGAAGGGCGTGCACGCTTCATAGTGAGCCTCGCCGCCTCCAAACCCGGCCTGAGACTAGTGAGAGTGAGAAATGGCTTCACCTGTCACCTGCCTGCGCTTATGGAGCAGACGTCGCAGGATGGTCGCAGACGGAGGTCGTTCTGCGACCTCCAGCGCCTGAGTCGTCTGCGGTACCTGCCCCGTTCCCGTGCTGGCCGAACTAGCTGTACCCTGCCACACTGCCACACTTCGCTGTTATATAATAGATAAAAACAATCATTAAAGCGAGTTGTACATCGTGCCAAAATAAGCTCAATTGATATAGAACTTTTTGAGTTTTTGAAACATACACAAACCAACGTTACATTTTAGAATATTTAGATTTAAGTGGTTTAAAGTGAGTGGAGGTTTAAGACTGCACGGGTGGCATAGTGTTTTAAGCGGTCGCCACGCCGCTTCTTACTACGCCAAGTGTTGTGGGTTCTTCTGTGATCCACAAATTGTTGTTCTGAATCTGGGTGTCTTTGTGTCCGTTTCATGTATGTTTGTAAAGTTCCCCGCGACACAGGATGCATTCCTAATGCGGGAGTTGTCTTTTTTAAAGTAAAAAATAATAAGAAAAGATAATCGTGACACAATGATTTGTCCTGGGTGGGAATTGAACCCACGACCTTTGGCTAGTTAGGACCACTAACCACTGGACCAACAGACTTGTTAATATTTCAAAATTTCCTATTGGTGTGTTCCCATTGCGGGAGTTGCACCCAAACGCAGAACAAATCACCGTATTCACACAATTACATATTTGTACTAGGTGGGAATCGACCGGTCAAGAAAATAGAGTCATAGATCTTCATTATACATGCTGTTTAAGGAAGTTCGACTTAACCTAAAAACCCACTTCACCAGTGAATGCTGTAACGCAATATCTTCATATTGAATTGTATCAGATATTCGATACGTGCAATTTTAACGTGACCATTAAATATGATTATTCGGACAAATCTTACATCGCAGTGTCAGCGTACGTGTGACGAAATTGGGACAGTATGTTTTATTGTTTAGTTAATTTAGTATGTTCGAATAATATGAATGCTTAGCTTATCTTAGTTACAGGTTTTCATGGCAGGTAATAAATTATTTTGTAAAAATATTTAAAAAAATCAATAGTTTTAAAGTTTTAAAAAACTAAATAAACACATAAAAACACCTAAAAAATAGAAATGAATTTTAATAAATTTGAAAAAAAAGCGTGGGGTGCTTATTGACAACAGGCACCCAACGCTTTTTTTTCAAATTTATTAAAATTTATTTTCTATTTTTTAGTTTTAGTTTTTTCAAATTAGTGTATTGTCATCGGTCCTCGATATATCTACAAAGTTTGAACGAATTCTGACCGTTTAAAGTCAGTCAAAATCACGCCCAAAGGAGTCGGTTACTAACAAACATACAAACATACAAGTGAAGCTAATATGAAGCGTATAAAAACAAATAAATAAACTGAGTCTAGGTTGTTTTTTTATGACAGTACATCTACAATATACATGTGATTGCCAGCTGCTGCACTGATGTGCTGAGGTCTCGGGTTCGATTCAAATATTTGTTTCGGAGATTGGGTGTTTGCTTTGTATAATATGTATTTATTATCAAGTTACCAAAACCTCCTTTCTAAGGAGAGGCCTATGTCCAGCAGTGGACTGTAATAGGCAGTTGATGATGATGATGATGATCAAGTTATCGTTTGTTTACCCTTCCATAAAAAAAATACAAAAAAAGTATGTAAGTATTCTATCAGTCAATCTAGCTTTCGTAGTACAAGCTCTGCTTAGTTTGAAACTAGATTGTATGTCAGATCGCCGACATTTTATAATTATACCTACAGAGGATAGATATTATATAAGTATATTTTTTTTTATGTAATACACGTAATATACCTACTACTTAGAAACGTCCACGTGGTCAAATTTATATTTACAAATTAAGCGGCTATTAACACAAAGTATCTATACTAATATTATAAAGCTAAAGAGTTTGTTTGTTTGTTTGTTTGGTGGCACGCGCTAACCTCAGGAACTTCTGGTCCGATTTGAATTTTATAATAAAGGCTATAGGCTATATACCATCACGCTACGACCAATAATAGAGAAATATCAATGAAACATGTTGCAAAAACATGTAAAAAAATATTCCTTTTGAAATACACAAAGGAATTTGCGCGTGTCGTCTAGTTACTAATATAACAAAAAAAATAAAATATAACAGAACAATTTCTCTACCATAAATAAAATGTTCGACCACCCAACAGCTCTCACACTTGACTGTTTTTGTGCGGCAGTGGAACCCGGGTCTTCTGCGTCACTGGACCGAAACAGATGCTCCGACAATCCGGAGATGTAGATAACACACTTTTACACATCAATAGATCGGTGTTTGATTAAATACGTATCTTGATGATGAGAAAGGTGGCCGATATAATAAGGTTTGAATGAATAAGCTCATGGTTTGTGTAAAACAGCTGTCCTCACATCTTCCATAGGAGAAGGTTAACCTGATAGAAATATTTGTTTAGCCATTACTTAGCTGTTAGAATTATTTATATATTCTTTTTTTAAAACGACTCCCTCGCTAGGAATTTATAATGTGGCTTGGGGGACTTTAAAGACATTCATGAAACGAACACAATTAAAATCTAGACTCAGAATAACAGTTTGTGGATCACACTAAGTTTTGTCTCATGTGGGAATCAAAGCCACAACATTAAGCGCCGTAGGAATCGGCAAGGTGACCGCTTAAACTACTACGCTATCTATGCAGTAAAAAAAATGGTTTAGTTAGCATTATATAATCAAGATTTTAAGCTCATATGTCCTATTGTCATATTATAAAAGAATATTTTGTTTAATCCCTGCTACACGCCCGCAACTATAACTCTTGTACACTAGGATCAAGAGCAGTGACTTACGAATACACCGAGTTATGACACTCGGGAAAAGTTGAACTGTCTTGAAAGCGCAACGAAATTAATCAGAAGAAAATTGGAGGAATTAGAAATATGTATACTCGTATAAAAATATCCACTTCCCTCCTTAGTAAAGCGGGAGACAAAAACTAAGTAAAAATAGGCCTACACCCTTATTATTGTGATGTAATTAAGTTTAAAAAAAAACGCCGACTTCAATGCGACGACATCATGAATAAACATTTTTTTACATCATCCGAAGGTCAACTGGCAGAGAATGTCCTGGGAATTAAGTCCGCCTGTGTATTAACTTTAACTTGTGCATTGAGTTATTATAAATGAATAATCGATTGAAATGAAAAAAATCAAACCGAATTGACACCCTCCTCCTTTTTTTAAAGACGGTTGAAAAATAGAGCCTGAAAAGAGAAAATAGAAACTCATAACCAAATGATTTAACACAAAGGTATGCTATTTTAAAAGCGCTGTTTCGGAAATCCCGTCTAGATTCGGATCCAACGGGGACTCATTTTCAAGGATATTCCAAAAAGTTTGTGATCAAACTGAACATCTTTATTACGGAATATAAATGTAATCATAGAATACAAAGCCGTACACAGTACACCCACATAGTTATACGCACATATAGGTACAATAATACACAAAGAAGGGGAGTACACGTTTGCCTATCCATTTGGCTGGCTTCGAACGAAACCTGATATACCACAGAGTACATCCCTGGTACTTTATTATCTCAACTGACAAATATGAACCTTCAATCTTACGGTATAAAGTTCAAAATCAATCGCGTTTATATAAGAGTATGATCGACAGTTACTTTGTAATAATTTCGAATTTAGAATGTTATGATTTTAATTTTCGAGTTTACGTTCGATTTTTGAACTTGAAATAATGTTGCAAGAGCCAGAATTATTTTTTCATCTGCTGCCAAATATTAACTCGTTTCTTTTTTTTAATTTTAAGTCAGAGTCACATCAGAAAGGTCAAAATTGGCGCAAGGGAACGGTTCCGCAAGCCGATAACATATTTAAGTCTAGTTTGCTACATCAGTAAATGTATCATCACCGCATCATCTTCATTCACTCTACTATAGAAAATCTTCAAATAAACTTAGGATCTCTAATTTAATTTTACAAAGAATTGCGCATTTCAAATTATTCTTTTTCTGCCACCTCGACCTGGTCTTCACCTACCTTTCTGCTTCATCTAGTAAATGGTTGCCACTTTCCTCTGGAGTGATTGTCATTTGTCGGAATAACATCTAGATTTCGTTCTTCATTAGTTCGTAAGACTCTAGACTGTGAAACCTGATTTTCTACATTAAAAAAAAAAAGTAACAACGTATACAGAGTATTGTAGTGTCACAGAGTAATCTTGATAATTGAATTAGGAGTGAGATTACGTCGGTAGTGTACAAGGTGGGGTTCGAACCCACTCTTTCTAGATCGCAGTTCCAACGCGTTACATTTACGCCGCTACTTAACATACCTAACATACTTAACATCAGAAGAGGGAAGATTGATTGGTTTGTAGCCGATATCTCGGAAAATACGGATCCGATTAAAATCATTGTTTTATCA